TGGGATGATTGCATTTGTAAAAATCTGATTTTTTGTATTGAATAAAAGCATGGCTAGTAGAATGGAAAAAAATAAAAGATGTAATCAATCCATGGTGATGAGACCAGAATATATTAGAAAGAGTTTTTGAGGCTACATACACTTTTTTTGTGCTTTAATGTCCACTGGTGCAAAAGCGTCCCTAATGAGTACATGAAACTCATTAAATGTACCTTAAGGGTAATTTCACAAAGAAATATAACATATCTTAAACTGCTAGAATCAGTGTGAAACTGTGCTGTGTCATTTGGTTTCTGTTTGAAGGGGGAAATGAGTCAGCATGTATGAAGTTGTCCTCCAGAGGTACTTTTCTGTTAATTAAAACTCACAGTAATGGTTCAGAATAAATTACAGAAAAAAATAAAATGTTCAGTAAACAATATTGTTGGGATACTTTTCTTTAAACCTTCATAAATGAGAGAGAGAAAAATCCATTAACAATACAACAATGTCAAAAGTTCTAGGACTAAAATCCACCTTAAGGAACCTCCACCAGAGACGGCGTACAGAGAGGAGGTCGAAAACCTGACAACCTGACACCTGCCAGGATAACAACCTCCATCTCAACGTCAGCAAAACCATGGAGCTGATTGTTGATTAAAGGAAGCAGCAGAGAGAGGGACACGCCCCCATCACCATCAATGGGACTACGGTGGAGAGAGTCAGCAGCTTCAGGTTCCTCGGTGTCCACATCACTGAGGACCTGACATGGACTCTTCACACTACCACCATCACCAAAAAAGCTTGACAGCGGCTCTTCTTCCTCCGCAGGCTGAGGAGGTTCAACATGGACCCCAGGATACTCTGCAACTTCTACAGGTGCACACAGGTGCACCATAGAGAGTATCTTGACTGCAGTGGCGTAACAAGGTTGTGATTGGCCCCGGTGCAAATATTGTTTTGGGCCCCCCCCCCATCGCCCAAAACATAAGCACACGCTGATGCGCTCACACACGCACGGACACGCACAGACACACACAACCACTCATAAGCGCCACATGTAAGCTATCAACAACAGCCTGCCCTGGCCTCAGACCACCACAGCCTGGCAACGGCACAGCGAACTAATCACACAATCACTTCACATAATTAATCGAGATTTCGAGGACGATGTATGACAAAAGAAACTGTCTAATTTCGTCAGTTTAGCCGTTACATCTCCTTGTTCTCTCTTATCCTTTCTCTTTTGAGCGCCGCTCTTGTGCTTTGGTTTGCAGCACATTATAAATGCAAGCTATTCAATTTTTTATAATGCTGCCAAACTTGCTGCTGCTACTATACCTATAACTTTTGAGGTTGATTAAACGGTTCACTCGTCACGCAAGGTATCACATTCACATGGCATGAAGGGGAGCAAGGTCATTGGAAAGACTTTATTTTTTTTTTTTTGCATGGGCCCCTGTCCGGCTCTGGGCCCCGGCTGCATCACGGCCTGGTATGGCAGCTGCACTGCCCTCAATCGTAAGGCTTTACAGAGGGTGGTGAAAACTACACAGAATATCACCAGGACAGAGCTGCCATCCATGGAGGACCTTTTTACTCCCAGCGGCTCAGGAAGAAATCCCTCAGGATTATAAAAGACTCCCATCACCCCAGCCACAAACTATTCTGTCTGCTGCCATCTGGCAGGCGGTACCGCAGCATCATTCCGGACTCAAAAAACTGGGGAAGTGAAAAAACTACAGGAAAGTGAAAACTTCATAAGCTTCATATGGCCCCTTTAAGTGTGAAATTACAAAGTTGCATTATGGGAACTGAGGGATCTAGTGTATTTGGACCAGGGACTAAAAGTCTTGGCATCTGCTGCTTACAATTTGACCATATAAGTTTGTGTCTCCCAACTTGTAGAAGATCAATAACATATTGCTGCATTACAACTTTAAGAAAAGTGTTATCAGCAGAAGGTTGAAATGATTAGATATTAGGAAAAAAAGTCATTCTGCAGAAAAGTGTTTTTTAGTGCAGTATCTTAATCTAAAAAGTAACTTCAGCTGTGGAATACATTTAATGGAATAAAAAGTACATTTATTTCCTGTAAAATGTATATAGGTATAAAGTAACATCAAACAAAACTACAAAGTATATTACTTTTCGCCATTGACTTTAACCTAATATGGATAGAGTCAATGGTGAAAAGTAATATACTTTGTATATTTTGTTTTGTACAAAACCGAAGAAGTGCCCTTCAAACTGTTTAAAACATCGGTACATGCTGTGAAAAACCAAACCCAACAAGCAGCAGATACATCTATAAATGGCTTCATTTAATGTGTTTCACAAACAATTCAAGAATTTATGGGACAAATTTACAGGAATTATTTTTGCCATGTTATTTATTTTCTTCACATTATTGCTTTACAGTAAAATGCATTGGTTGGATATGTCCAGTATAGCAAGACAATACATTCATATAAGTTATACAGATGTCCTCAGTAATGTTTTTATAGTAACTAACTTTACATTAAATATATTTTTTTAATCATTTATTATTCTTGACAAACAACTCCCACGTCACATTGAGCTCACAGTGCATCAGGTCGCATTCAATCAAGAAATACATACCGGTCCTCTCTTGTGTTCAATTGCCATTTCTAACGTGTGTGTTCTAAAGTGTGTGCGCTTATTTTGTACACAGGATTTTTCATACATTCTGGATTTATGTAGAGCTACGACAAAAACGGCATCTGAATACTAATTATTTTTTTCCCCAACGTCCAAAAAAAAGTGACTTGGTAACCAAGCTGCGAGTTAGACAACCGGTGATAACTGTGTCAAGATGAGGACAAAAGAGTAGTGTTTCCCCCCTGCTGTGCCACTCAAACATGGCAACCGGGACATGACCACACAGAGCAACAACAATATACACAAAATAAATAACCCTGCACATTCTGAATCAACTCAAGTACAGTACGGACATTCCTTCCCCAGAAAAAGCATCAAAAATTAGGCCCCGTTTCTATATAAGACCCACTGTAAGGGTTCAGGAGGAGGAAGGATGTCATAGTGGAGCAGTCTGTAGGCCCTGTGTGGTCAACTCCGTCCAGTAAACACAGCAGTTTGAACCCTGATGGAATAGCAGCTTAAGGGGGTCCGACCTTTTTTTTTTTTTATTATTTCTTTTTTTCCCCTTTAAGTCTGCTCTCATCCATGTCCTTTCAAAAATAACAATGTCCCGAGGGCGGTGGAGGAAAGTCATCCATGCATTCCCTGCTGCTCCTTCAGCTTGGGTTAGTGGCGAGTTAATGCCCTTGTGCAGGAGGAGACAAGAGTGGAGAAAGAGGGGTCAAAAAAGGATAGTGTGTGTAGGACTTCCCTCAGAGCCACAGTTCCAGAAATGGACATGTCCTTTGGACTCAGTTCCTCAGTTTTTACTAAACAAACACCTGTGAGCTCACACATCAAGTAGTACTAGACAAACCAACGTCACATCTCCACGAGGTTCCCCCGTCTCTATATGGCAACCTTGCAGGGGCCCTCTGTCACATAGAATTCTTTAAATTGAGATTGCATATACAAGAGCCTTCTGCCAACGGTGTGGCACAGGAATAATTTCGACACTGAAAACACTCCCCACACGCCCTTTTAGTCTCTGCACAGCACTTGTGGACTCCTCACGGGCATTTTTGCATGATGTCAAAATGTCTGGATTGCAGTGTAGCTGCCGATTTTTGTAAAGTGGGTCGGGCGGTATCCATGGTGATGCCCAGAAGTGATGCTGTGGAGGACCTGCATGTAATGTCCCAGCATGCACTGCAGTCAGAGGCGGGTGTGCTCATGGTGCTAACGAGGTTACAGTCCGTCCCAAGTGTGGAGAACCCGGTGTGGGAAACATAGCGTGGGCCCATACTGAGCACACGCACACACACACACACACACACACACACACACAATCCTCTCACTCACACACTCACACTTATACACTGAAAATACACACGCACAGAAGGAAGCACTAGTTGATTCAGAATGAGAGGACGGCTGTTAAAGTGCAATATCTACATGTAACTCAAAAATCAAGAGACCACGCCATCGCCATCTGCTGGAGTTGTCCATCTCCGAGTTTCCCTGATAACCGTCGGCTGTGGTTGGCACCCCCGCCCTGGGTAGAGGGGCTGAGGTACCCCCTACTGGCCAGAGGGTGTGATAGCAGACAGTCAGTGTTGAGAACCGCCTTGTTTCTTTCCATTTACTGTAAAACAATGACCTCCATGCTGTGGCTGTCTCCAGATGACCACAAGTCACCTGATGATGACGAAAATCCAATGCATCCACAGATCTGGAGCCAGTTTTTTTTTCAGAAGTTGTGCAGAGGGAAAAGTGGACTGACCCATTGATGAATGAATAAACGCTGGAGTGGAGACTCCACCAGCAGCCACACACCCCTCTGAGTGGTCAAATCTCCTTACAGCACAAAGCAAGAAAAGCGTTTCCATGTGCAATTTGTTTCAGTGAAAAACAGGCAATGTCCTATATTTGCAACAAGCTCTCCTCCGCACATCATACGAGACAAAACCTTGGTTTGAAAAAAGAAATACAAAATAAAATAAGTGTTTACAAGTTTACATTGTGCAGTGCTGCATATGCATAACACCCTCACAGTCATCTGATCTGGACTGTGATATTTCTGGACACAGAGCGTCCTGACAAAATGTCATCTTTTTTTTTTAAGAAAACAAAGCAGATTTGATCAAGCAGATGAAGGTTGAGAAGAGTAGCAGAGAGGGATCGAAGCGCTAACACTATTTGCTCCCTGATGCCAAAGGCCATGCCAGGGTATTTGGGTCCAGGAGGGGGGGAGCTGCCGAGGACAAAGCCCTCCTCCGTGGGGGGAGAAAAAGGAGTGTATTTTATCTTTGGGTGCCGGGGTTACTGTAATTGTTTTAGGAAGAAAGCGAGGAGAGTTCTGTCTATGTGGGGATTTTGGTTGGAATCATACGATTTTTTTTCTTATTCACAGACTCTGGTTTGGTTTGTGAAAAGGCTTTGGAAATGGTGTGTGGAAATCTACAATGTGAAAACAGTGAAAACACACACACCGACAATCAACAGGGGCACTTATGATTCTGAGATCCCCGACATCTAAAGGCATGCTAGATGGGTAGAAAGTTAGCAGGCGCTCAAGAGGAAATAAAGACTTTAACTGCAATAACAGGCAAAGCCTGAACAAATGGGCATTAAGGACCGGCACTGTGTGACAAGAGGTCAAATTAGAGAAGCAGAACGGAGTCCACTCTTACAGCTAAACTGCCTCTTTAGGAAATGAGATTCATATTAGGGACAAAGGATTGCAAGTAAGGAAAGGAGTCTGCAGATAGGTCCAGTATCATTGAAAGAAAAAAAAGAAAATGTTGGGTTGCTATGGGAGCGTTGAGGTTTTGGTATGCGATTCCTGCGCAGTACTCTACTCCTCCATGCACATGGGCAGGTTGACGAAGGTGAACACGTTGTATTCGATCATGACGGAGAAGCAGAGGAAGATGGCGTACAACACCAGCACGTAAATGCCCAGCTTCGTGTCCAGCCTCCACTTGTTCACGTGGATCCCCAGCACCTGCACGCATACAAAATAGGTCAGTGCGGTCATCGAAGTTTAGCAAAAATAAAATGATGGAGAAAAAAAAGCTGAATTATAGGCAGTAAAATGTCACTACGACACATAAAATGCATATTTCATCATGAAACTTAAATCTATAAGAAGCATTTTCGTGTTCATCTTTGCTCAGAGATTACACCACAGCAGTGTTTTTATCTCTGTTGATGTTAAGAATTTCTGCAGCTGGCACACCGGCACAGAAAGCAAGCTCAGAAAAACTGTAATTTCAAAAACCCATGGTTGTTTGATATCAAATTGTAAAGTAGGAATATATTTCAATTCAGTTCTGGCCAGAAAGTCAGACATAATTGCTTTAAAATGATCATTTTGGTTTATTTTCTCCAGTAAGAGTGTCCCATTCAGATTGCTTAATGAATGCAGTATAACTACCCAAATCTCGCTCGGTTTATTCCAAAAAGAAAAATGTTTAAACCTTTGCAGCAGGGAATATTTCACAGGAAATACAACACTGAATTTAAATGTTTTGGTAAAGCACATCATTTGGTTTAGTCACTATTGTGTAACAGAGCATCTGTCAGTGATGAGAACAGGGATCTTGTTTTTCTGTAATAATGTACTGTTAATTTTTACTTCAGACGTGTCCGGTAAACAGGCATTCTTCCTGGGAGTGGTCAATATGTTTGTATAGCGTAGACATCCTTAACTATTACTCACCGTGAGGGCCACAGAGCCCAGCAGAAGCACCACAGAGTACAACAGGCCCTTACTGTTAATCATCACCTGCAAAACACAAGGGAAAAACAACAATTCACCTGCAGCTCCTAAAACGTTATCGGTCAACATCAGAGATAATGAGTAACTGGATTGTTTGTTTCCTACGCTCACATGCACAATAATACAGAATAAACAAGCTTATTACCTCTGATCCATAGCTCACACACATGGTCTGGATCGCCCAGGGAGCCCCCAGTCCCACGAGAATATCAAACACATTACTGCCAATAGTGTTGGACACCGCCATGTCTCCCAAACCTGCAACAAAACCAAGAGTAGTAAGAAGGAGCAAGGGTAAGGAAGTTTCTCTTCTATGCTTTCAGGTCAAGTAAACTTATTTTTTCTAATCGATGGTTAATGATTTGCTGTTCTGCACTTTTAGTTATTCACAAGGGCCCAAACCTTATTCAGATGCGAGTCGTGACTCACCATATTGTCGATATATGCAGAGATGTTTTTCTTTTTAATTCCAACTCTTTTACATGCATGAGGCGGACAACTCATTTGTTACCTTAGGAACAAAGTCTGCTAGGTTTATCAATTATGGTGTGTACACATGCATGCAAATTGTAACAATTCCTACTAAGGAAACTCACTGTAATATGTACGTTTCCTACTAAAACAACTCCTGTATAATCCATATGATTTTGGGTGGGTGGATGGTATGGACAAAAACACAAGACTTCCTCCCACTAGATTTATTCTGAAAATACTGCGTGCATGTTCCTAAAGATTTGTACGAGAACTCACGAAAAATTAGGATAACTTTTTGTAGGATATCACACACAATGTCGTATGAGGATACTTTGCTTACAATACATACAGATACATTTCTCCATCCAAAAAGGGACATCCCAGAAAGCACTTTCTGGCTCTCCACCATAATTGCATCTCAAATGTTTCAGAGCGATCGGTATACCTTGCCGAGCGACAATGAGACTGGCTATGCAGTCTGGGACGCTGGTGCCTGCTGCCAGGAAAGTGATGCCCATGATGACATCAGGGATTCCCAGAGTGTAGCCGATTATAGTCACCTGAGACAGATACAGTGTCAGCACTTAAAAATAGCATTATGAATGGCAAAAAGCACATTAAACTTCACCAACAATGTCCTTGTTTAATGCTCAGTTACTGACCATTGAACATTTAAACTTCAGCTTCCTAATAGTTGGCTAACGGTTGCTTCCACCATTTTGGTTGTGATGCACAATAATGTGCTAAATTTGACAGTTAGACTAAAATATTGTGAATCCAGGTCTTGATACGGCCTTAATTAATTTTTATAATAGATTTTTCTGATTTCTAATGGCCATCATTGAATGTTTTCACAGATACAATTTGCAGAAGGAATTAATCGCATCAAGCTTTACGACAAAAAATAGCTTAAATAGTCAATTACGTCTATTGTAACAGCAGCCCTTGATCCAACAAACACCACATTTCTCACACTCACAACATATGAAGTTCTTGACTGATCCACACAAACATTACACTCACCATCCAGACCATAAAGTAGGAGAAGACGGCGATCCAGACGGTGGCCAAGAAGAAGGAGAGCATGAAGAATTTCTCCCAGCGAGGCTTGGCACAGTTTGGGATGGTTACGAACAGCATGAGCAGCAGAGGCCACGAGATCAGCCACTTCAACTTGCTGCCAATACCCCCTGCAACAGGAAGACGCATTATAACCAAATATCAGCCTCTTGCTCTTCAGTATGGTGGACAATTCTTTTCTTTCAACATATTACATTGATATACACTTTTATTATTAGAAACACTACATTTCCTACACATTTTTCACTTTAAAATCAAGTCAGGTTTCCTCCTTAGATATTATGAATCTATTTCTACATCAATTATTAATGTCATTCTAAGGAGAGCTACTGTCCTTTGTGTATTGTAAATACCAACTTCTACATTTCTTTACATTTTATGATTTGTATATAAAGCCAGTGACATTCGAGCAAAGACATTAATAATGTATTGCATATTTAAAGAAAGGATATAAAGTTGGACACAGATATAAATAATGTAAGTGTCTGAAATGTCAATAAGGAAAAAACTACTTTGTTTCCATATATGTTTAACCCCAAGGAATCCATCCATGTCCACCAAATAATGCACATTAAGTGAATGCATACGTGGGATATGAAACGGTGAGATGGTTATGTTTTCCGGCTCCTCGGTGGGTTTGTCCTCTGGCACGTTTCCGTTCTCGATCTCAACCTTCCCGTCGATCACTTGTGTCTCCACGCCATTGGCAGCTTGGACCAACTTCTGGCGCTTTCAGAAAAAAGAAACTAAGTCAAAGTGCACATGAGAGGACGCGCTTATACTCCCGACTGCATCGCTCCAGCCATATTTTGAACGTATCTTTTCATACTGTGTGTGTGAGATAAGGACTCTTTGGGAAGCCTTTTTGGGAACTAATCTCAAACACAAAGCTGAAAAGATTTAACCAGTTAAGCCCCGAGCCTGTTTTTCAGGACTCAGGCTCGAAAATGACATTCCCAGAACAAATGACCATATCTTCACTTCTAAAAAAGGGGTAAATTAATCATCTTTTTTCTCAAAGCAATGATAAACCTGTGAGTGGGATGTAGAAAAAGTTAGAATCAATATAGAATTTTTTTTATTTTAAAGTAAATTCAGATTGAACATAGTAAAAAAATATGTAAATGATAGTGTCCGTCCAAAAAAAAAAAAAAACATTACCTATAGTGAAAACCACCCTTGAATGATGGGATCGGAGACTAAAAGCTTTAGGAATCCAAACTATAACATATAATAAGTACCCTGTATCAAGATTGATGCAAAACAAGTGACATTTGACATTTTTAGAGAGATTTAGAAAAAGAAAAACACTTCTGGGGTTATTTGGATGAATTTTCCATATCTCTGGCCCCCCTCGGTTGATTTTGATGATTGACACCTCTTTTTAACCGTTAGAGCCAATAGAATCGAGGGGAAGTTCCTAAAATCCATCTAAACTTTAGCCGTTGGTGAATGAGTGATGCGTAGAATGCCCAAAACAGGAAGCAGTCATACACTCTGGTAGCTATCATAGCAGCTATATGAAAGCTCCGTTATTGACATAAATATGAAGATGGATTATCAGTAATCATTTCAAAGTGACAGACACATTGGATTAACCTATGAATTAACATTCAGCAGCGTTTTTATCGTTTTAATGCCATTGAACACAACTTTTGATCAGAGACAGCAAAAGGTAAGACATTTCTCCCGTGTTTGCTCCGTAAAGTCTGTCGTAAATGTCTGTTTGCTTCCCCTGTCGCGTTTTGATCGCTCAGTGATGATACTTATATTTATGGAATCTGTGGAATCTCAGCTTGCTAATCGATATCTTGTTTTTGCAGATCTGATAAGTAATAAGGGTATTTTACCGTGAGTTCTGTGCTAAGTGTGTTAGCATCTTTTCGCTCAGGGCTCATTTAGACGACTCTTGTGAGAATTGTGTTTTGTTTCGGTACAAATTGTTTGTATCGTCAGTTAGCTGAGTTTCTTCCCGTTAAGTGGGTATGACACATTCATAGGTTTTGAAATGTTAAGAAGCCCTGAGACAAAGTTTTGTGGAAAAGAAACCCGCAGCCCCGCGGGCAGGGGCCTTCGCGCTAAACAGGCTAATAATAAATGTGATTGAGCGGCAAGGTTTCAACATACAATCTTTTCTAGTTCCTTTGTCAAATGATACCATCTGTTTGTCTGTGCATGTTTGGGTTGGTCAATCAGTCAGATACATTGAGATTTAGATAAGTGACGCCATCTGTCTTCAAATATAATCAGATTGTTATCATGGTTTTGTGGTTTATTGTTTTGAAGAAGAAAAATAAACAACAAACCGAATGAAAATTGAAATGTATTATTAACCAATATTAGATAAAACTGGAAATTAGTCGATAGAAATGACAGTTAACATGTCGGCTGAACTCTGACCTGAGAGTCTTCAGTTCACAGTGTGGACTCTCCAGTCCAGCAGACAGCAGCTTCACTCCTGAATCCCGCAGGTCGTTGTTACTCAGGTCCAGCTCTCTCAGACTAGAGGACTGGGAGCTGAGGACTGAGGACAGAGCTGCACAGCTTCTCTCTGACAGGTTACACCCAGTTAACCTTGAAAGAAATTAATACGTAACAACATTCCTTTAATAATACATGTGATTGAGCGCAAGGTTTCAACATACAATCTTTTCTAGTTCCTTTGTCAAATGATACCATCTGTTTGTCTGTGCATGTTTTTGTTTGTCAATGAGTCAGATACATTGAGATGTAGATAAGTGACGCCATCTGTCTTCAAATATAATCAGATTGTTATCATGGTTTTGTGGTTTATTGTTTTGAAGAAAAATAAAGAACAAACTGGAAATTAGTCGATAGAAATGCGCTGAACAAAACCACTCTGACAGTTAACATATCAGCTGAACTCTGACCTGAGAGTCTCCAGAGTACAGTGTGGACTCTCCAGTCCAGCAGACAGCAGCTTCACTCCTGAATCCGGCAGGTCGTTGTTACTCAGGTCCAGATCTCTCAGACTTGAGGACGGGAAGCTGAGGACTGAGGACAGAGCTGCACAGCTTCTCTCTGACAGGTTACACCCAGTTAACCTTGAAAGAAATTAATACATAACAACATTCCTTTAATAATACATTTGATTGAGCGCAAGGTTTCAACATACAATCTTTTCTAGTTCCTTTGTCAAATGATACCATCTGTTTGTCTGTGCATGTTTGGGTTGGTCAATCAGTCAGATACATTGAGATGTAGATAAGTGAGGCGTCACTTATCTACATCTCAATGTATCTGACTGATTGACCAACCCAAACATGCACAGACAAACAGATGGTATCATTTGACAAAGGAACTAGAAAAGATTGTANCTTGAACTCTTACCCAATGATACCTGTGGGCTGATAATGATGAGTGCACTCAGGTTTCACAAGAGGAGAGTGGGTTTCCAGCTGGAGGGAAGCTTCTCATTTCCATGTCCTCTTTCCCAGATGTTAACGCTCGGCTTGGCTGCCTCAGTTCCAGAAAGATTTTTGTGATGCCCTTTCAAACATTTGGGATAGCATTTTCCTACCTTTTGGATCTTTGACCATCATAGATATAAGAACTTGTATAATTCAATTTTAATTATACAAATGGATTTATACAATGTGTTTTTAATGCTGCGACTAGATCTCCAGTTGGCCATTTCTGGTGTTTTACTGGTTTAGTTTAAACGAATAATGAACTGTATTTAATTTGATAAAACTGTTGCCCCATGAAACACTTGAATATAGTGTATTATAGCCTTTCTTAGGGGTAGAGGTGTCTTTGTAGTCATGTTCTGGGGTATGCATAATTTATGACGATTTTTCGATAACAATCTTACACAATCTCGTCTTTCTGTTTTTAATCAGTCACCTTTCAGTTTGTATCACCAAAGTCAACCTATTTTGCCTTATTGAGTGTTCATAGTCCAAACTGCATAATGCCGCCCCACGTCTCTGTCCAGCCGGTAATCTGTGTTACACTCAGCAGCCGTCTGCTCTCTCCCTGCCATAAGAGTTTAATCTTTCTCCCTCTTCAGTGGCTAAGAGCACAGGCTTAGCCGGATCCCTCCTCTCCTTTCTCATTTGGAGGAAAGAAGTGCTCACTCTAGGATGTGCCGTCATATGTCTCCCCTCTCCCAAAAATATCTGCTGACCATTACGAGCTGTTCCAGACAAAATGGAGTAGAGAGGGTTTTATTTAGCACCGAGGTGACCTTCCAGCGCCTGGGTTTGTTTTTGTATCTTTCCCCTCTCCTCAAATAGCATGCGTGCTGACAATTGTGAAAACAAATAACACCATAGGGAAACCACTAATGACACAATGTAAAAGTAAAACAAATCTATTAATGCTTTTGATTCCTAAATAATGAGCATTTGTTTTGGGATGTCATTAGTCTAGATTGCTTGGATCCAACATTGACTTAATTAAATTAGAATCAAACACCCTCCTCCTATCTGCATACAATTATCCCCATTTAGTCTCTTGTCCTCAAAGACTACAATGTTTAAGTAACTTTTTACAATGTAGCACACATTTGAACTTCTGAGTAGTATTAGCTAGATAATTTTGTTAGCATTTGCTTGACATCTTAAAAACTATATCCACAGTTTAAAAGGGGATACTGTGATGATAAAGAACAATAAAGTATTAACATTAGTGTCTCTTGTCAAGCTAGCTCAATGTTTTCTTATCACCTTATTCGAGGTTAAAGAAGGAATAAAGCTCTGTATTTATTTTTAAACTTTATCGACAGCATCAACATTCCTCAATTTGACTCCTAGTAACATTTTTAGCCTTGGTCAGTTTTGGCTTAAATTCTGTACAAAAAAACCTTCTATCCTTTAACGCTGAATTCAGTGAAAGAAAAAGATAACAAACTTTCATTTAGTTTTAAAGTTTACACTTCAAGGCATATAACCTCAGAAAGGGAGAGGGCAGCTCCTGTGGGGAGTTTGGTTCTCATAGTGTGTTATGTTCTTGGCAATATTTCCCCGAGTCAGTTATGTGGAAATTCCCTGTGTACATCTTATACAGATGTTGTGGGCTACACATTGAAACCACTGCCTTGAAATTTGTGGCTAGATGGTTTTCCTTTCTTTTTTCCGACAGGGATATCTTGAAAGTGGCTGAATGGCTTTTAAACCATTCAAGCTGAATTATAAATACCCACATTACTTCATTCGTTTAAAATTTGACCTGCAAAGAAGACCCTTCTCTCACAATGATGAGATGACCCTGGCAATTAAAGTGTGTTTAGTGTCTGTGAGATCCCTTTTGATGACATGTCCCCCAAATGGTCTTAGGCCTCTGGGAACACTAACTTTCTATTCTAATGTAGAACAGCATATGTTTGTATATTAAAATGCTGATGTGGGTTTTTAGAAAGTAGGCCATCTTTACTGTAAACTCATATTATAGAAATACAAAGAGAAACTGGTTATTTTGGCTAATTAAACTGCATATTCAATTCAGTTCCAGCCTTTCATCTGGAGCTCGTAAACCCTATTTGTTGTAAAAGTATTTCTTCAAACTGAATGCCCTTATCTTTTTGTCCCCCCCCACCCCCCCCCCCCCCCACCCCCCCCCCTTTTTGAACTCTGGGTTGAATTATTTCAGTATCTTTAATTAGGGGATTTTGTTCCATCTCTTTATCAGATTCAACTCCAGCATGCAGAGATTTTTCACGGGTGCAAAGTCGAAGAAGAACGTGGCCAACGGTAACGCTGCGGCCAGCAGCGAGATGGAGGACGGTAATACTAGTTATGACTATGTTGTGGATGACGACCCGTCATTGCCATTACTCTCACCAGGTAAGGTTAATCAGACAGGCTGGGTACCTCAAGACTTTTCTCTGCCAGTAGTGAATAGTGAAAAATATATTAGACGATTTGACTTTGATTCTCTGGAAGACTGTGGTTGTTTCCGCCGTTAGAGGGTCTGTGGCTTAACCTTTGCTCCTTTCTGCTGAATTTATCTACATTTTCCTTATCTTATTCTGCTGGAATTAACTTAAAGCAAAATTTTGACATTTTGGAAACTATGCTAATTTTGTTCCTTGCTGACAGATAGATGAGAAGACCGATAACACTCTTAGATTTGTTTAGCATATGGACTGGAGACCGTGTTGTGTCTAGATTATATCTCTGGATTTGCAAACTGTTGCATGATGGTTAAGATTAGGCATTGATCCTTGAAAAGTAAAGGTTAGGATAATTTGTTGGGCAGTGAGTCTTGTGAAAGTTAGTAAATCAAGAGTTAGAATGACAAGGTAACTCAAAGTAACGAATAAGATAAAGTCAAACACATAACAGCTTTTAAACCAGTTGGTTATTGTCTTTACCCTTACTTTACATTTGTACAAATGTAACAGCTGAAAGAATGAGTTTACTAATGAGCTTTAAAATGATGGTAAAGAGATTTTGTCACCTTGGTAGAAGCATGTGAATTATTTCCCCCCGTTTTCAGGCTTATCCCAATGCTAAGCTAATTTCCTTCTGTCTGTAGCTTCATATTTAGCATAGCCTACTGACATGAAAGTGGTCTCAGTTTTTCTATGAATTTAACAAATAGTAGCTGACATGCTAAATATTGATCAGGTGCTTTTATGAAGATTGTCACCTTCAGACAAAGCTAGGACACTCTTCACATCAATGTTTTCCTTTGGTACAGTATGCTAGGCTAACTGCCTGCTAGCTGTAGCTTTATGTAATGTTAACATCAGTTCACACAAACACATTTTCCAAATTGTCAAACTATTTTTAACATGATTCTGCAGAACTACATTTTCAAAGATAATGAAAACTTCAGTCCCTTGAGCTCATGAACTGCACTACCTGAAGAAAGACGGTTTGTTAAATCTACCTTTTTATCTTTTTCTTTGTCCTGTGGTAATTTTGTAAATCCTATATGTTCCTCGATTAATTTTTCTTTTGCGGCCAAGTCCTTTCCTTGGCTGATAAGCAACTGAAGCTTATCGGAGCATACAGGGGGCACAAAATGAAATGCTCCTGTTTTTTTAAAATGGGGGCAGCTGCAAAGTAGAGTTATTATTTAATCTTCCTTCAGTAATGCAGTTAAATGTCAGGGGACTTTGTTGTCTTGGGTTTCAGACTTATTAAAAAACGTCTGGATACATTTGCCTTTTCTAAATAACATCTTTTAATGTCATGCTCTTTGAGATGTCCTTTTTGCCGCAACTCTCCACCTCTTCCTTTCCTGCCTTTGACCTTTTTAGAAAAAGTCTAATCAGTGACATTTAACCCTTTCCACTTTGGCTGCATTAGATTTAACCTGCCTGTCTGTTTAGCCTTACTAAACTTATTCTTGCTTACTGTCAACAGTGTTGTGCTGCTGTGTGCCAATTCTTTCTGCTTGCGTACTACTTTTCTCCTGCCGGTCTCTGGGGCGTAGACCCCCTCACTCCTGAAGTGGTAATGAATTTCACAAGAGGAAATGTTTATGCCGGCTCTGTTTACACTGTTAATTTATGTGCATTCTTGCATGAATAATAAGTCAAATTTAAGGCAGAGTTAAACTAATAAGTTTACTGTAGAACTTTTTTAATTCCCCATTCACTGCATCTTAAAGTTAATTGTAAACAGAGAGCAAATGAGGAGTTATAGGGTATCAATAAAACATGTAGAGATAGGTTTTAGGTGTCAGAAACCTGCATTAGAGATTAACATCATCAACTGATAGACGCCGGAGGTTATGTTTTTAATGTCATTTTAAAATCAATCTCGGTCGACCGATAAATATTCACTACTCGCAGACTTCAAAGCTGCACCAGGCAATTTGGGAAAGCTTTTTGAAGCTCAGTACCCAGTAATCATGTTAACTCTACTGGTGTGTGATGTCTGATACCAAAGGGGAAAGACTTCAACGTTGGTCGGTCCAGGGGGGATTCCCAAATATTTAAACTCTATGATATGAGGGTGGAGTGAAATAGAAATAGGAGTGATCATTAATCTGCTACTCTGTCAAAACTGTAGTTATTTTTATTAAGTGGTCCCATAACTGAATTGGCTGCAACTGGAAGGTTTTTATGCTGCTCTGTGAACCTCACTCATATTTACATACATATATTCTATATCCTGCAAATATATGCAATTTGTATTTAGACTGAACATGTGTTCAAAGGTGAACTTCTGTAAAAACATCCTTCTAAATACATCCATGAAAATCTCATGCATAAAAGTGTTGGTTTTTATCAGTTGAAACAATTCATAGGTTAACTTTTTTAAAAAACCTATTAAATTATCTGTAAAATTCAATCGTTATTTGGAAGATGATCTCACTTTATTGCGAGATGTAAAACACTGGATTTATAATGCTTTTAACCTTCATGTCATGTTCCCTTAAAATGAGTTTCCTGGCAAGACAACGAAAACAAACACAAAGACTCTCTTCCCTCATCTCTGAAAAAAACCCATAAAGCCACCTACAGCCATTTCTAGGTCACTTTGTAAAAGCTAAGGGAGCCAATCCAAAGGAGGAATGAACTTCAGAGCTTTGGAAAACATCCCAACCTGTCCAGACGGGACATCCAGGCTGTTATTTAGTGGACGCTGTTACTCTGAAGTTTTGATTTGTGCAGGCATCAAACTGCCCGAGCTGAGCCCACGTCGTGATTTAGGGTAATGGGAATGGTGCGTGTTAACCTTGCCTGGTGCAGCTCTAACTCAGAAAATATGACAAAATATCTCAGGTTTAGCAGTCATTTATATTCATTAGCAACTTGTCCCAGGAAACACTATTGACTTCAAAATGATTGTCCAGTACATATTTCTTGCTGCCTGAAGTTTTAAAGTCCATATACTTCAGTGAGGCAATTCAAACGAATAGAAAGTGAGTGAAAACAATCGTATGCTTGTTTGATGTTTGGTGGATTCATGCTTTTGATATTTGGTTCACTAATTACATTTGTTTTATTTTTCTATATTTAAATCATCTTCATCCACCCCTCAGTCAAGCCCACCAAGGAATACAGCCGTGGATCGGTGGTCATGGTGGACGAGATCATGCACGACAGCCCTTCAAAGTTCAGGTTTCCAGAAGCGGGCCTCCGTGTCATGGTCACCAGCCATTTTGGACCCAAAACCCGTCTGCGCATGGCCAGCCGCCTCATCATTACAGAGGTACAGATGAACGTTGTTGCTCCAATAAGATTTGCTACTGATATGTTAATTTATTTTAACTCAAGTTAAGCCCCATGCCCCATGCCAGCTATTAAACAATATTATTATTTTTAGCTAAACGAAACACAAGGGTAATAACAAAGGCTCTGAATTAGCCCTGAGCGAAACTATTCTAACGCACTTAGCACAGAACTCACGGTAAAATACCCTAATTACTTATCGGATCTGCACAAACAAGATATCGATTAGCAAGCTGAGATTCCACATATTCCAGAAATATAAGTATCATCACTGATCGATTAGAACTCGCGACAGAGGAAACAAACCCAGATATCACACCACATAGCTTTGCGGAGCAAACACGGAGATATTCTTATCTTTGCTGTTTCTGATCAAAAGTTGTGTTCAATGGCATTAAAACGATAAAAACGCTGCTGAATGTTAATCATAGGTTAATCCAATGTGTCTGTCACTTTGAAATGATACTGATAATCCATCTTATATTATGTCAATAACGGGGCTTTATATAGCTGAGGTTGTTTGACTGCTTCCTGTTTTGGCATTCTAGCATCACTCATTCCCACCGGCCTAAAGTTTAGATGGATTTAGAACTTCCCTGGCTTCTATTGGCTCTAACGGTTAACAAGGAGGTGTCAATCTCAAAATCAACCTGAGGGGGGCCAGAGGACTTATGGAAAATATCCACCAAATGACTGCAGAAGTGGTTTTTTTTTTTTTTTGGCTAAACCTCTCTAAAAGGCAAATGTCACTTGTTTTGCATCAATTTGATATCAGGGTACTTATTATATTTTCGTTGGATTCTAAGCTTTTAATTCTCGATCCTCATTCAAGTGTGTTTTACTATAGTAATGTTTTTTTTTTTTTGGACGGACACTATCATTTACATATTTTTTAACTTGTTCAATTGAATTCTTTAAAATAAAAAAAT